CCAAGCAAGAACATCCCTAACAGGAATTTGATCAAACACCTTCCTTGAATCCTTTATTATCCCGTGCTTAGCATAAGCATCAAGGAGCAAGCTCGAAACCACTAGATTGTAAGACCAACCAGCAACCAGAACCTGCCCGTGGGCTTGCAAGGTGAGGCTTTTATCAGCAAGGCTGGCGCAGGCAGTAAGTAGAGCAGAGAAAGTATGAGCATTGACAACGAGGGTGGAGCTACGGAGGCGGGAGTAGAATGCCGCAGCCTCCGCTGCCGCGCCAGTGCGGGCAAGGGCGAGGATGATGGTGTTCCAGGACACGAGGTCCCGATGCGGCATACAATTAAATAGGTTAACAGCATGAGCTATCAAGCCGAGTCGGACGTATCCTGCAAGCATTGTGTTATATGAGAAAACGTTTGGTTGAGGCATTTTGCCGAACAGGTCTTGGGCGCGGTCGGAGCGGCCAAGGAGGAAGTGGAGATGAAGGATTTGATTGGAGAGAAAGGTGTGGGAGGGGTAAACGGGCTTAAGAGCGGTGAAATGGAGAAAGTTGAGGACGCGGCTGGCTAAGGGGAGGGAAGCAGGGGAGTGAAGGCAGTGAGAAAGAAGTAGGGAGAGAGTGCGGGTTGGTGGGCGGAGGCCGTGGCGGGCAAGGAAAGGAAGGACAGAGACGGCATCGGCGAGGCGGCCGGCGGAGATGTGGCGGTTAAGGTCGGCGAGAAGGCAAGGGGAGGCTTTGGCGTGTTGGATGCCACGATGGGGCATCGGCGGCGGTGGCCCGGCAGCTGCACGGCGTTCATCCCTGCATCGGGAAGGAGAAATTGAAGGGTAGATTTTGGCTCAAGATTCGGTGAGGGAGGTAGTTGGAAATTAGCCAGTGACTTGATCAAAAGAATTCAATTGATTTGCTGATGATCGATCGGATTGAGGTGTTAATGATTCAATGATTTGAATTGGATTGAATCGGATCATATAATAAACATTAATTATACTCATATATTATATAATTTATATAATAATGATATCATAATTTATAGATATTTAATAAAAAATTAAACAAAAACATAATATGGAGCATAAAACATACATAATAAATAAATTTATTAATTTAAAATTAAATGCATTCATTTTGTAAGACGAAACAAACAACACGAAAATCGATCTAATCTAAGCCCAAATGATCCCAATCAAGGAATTGAAGCTTATTTTGAATGTTCAAAACATTTATTGAATGGTCATATGATCTTTAAATATTGCATGCTTATAGTCGAAACAAGCGGCTCAAGAAGACAAATCCAACAAGCGTAATATCGCCTAATTCTAGCATCATTTGGGCATATGAATGTTTGACAAACGCTCTATGATTGAGAGGATCAATATGGGACGTTTGATGGAGCACTCCAAAATTATCTTGGATTTTCTTTATATTTATGGAGCATGTCACTTACAAAAATCTATAAATAGACTATTACTCTCTTCATGAAGGGACCTTTGGCTAGAGATGGGAAAGTGTTGACTGGTCCACCGCCCGGCCACCAGACCATGTCCCGTTTGTTAATCGCCATCTAACTTCCATCCGACCATCGACAACCTTTGGACTTCCGACGACCATCTTCTGACCACTGTCATCAATCAACCATGGTACCTCGAACCACCGTCACCTGCTGACTACGACCACGGTCGCACCCCCTACCTCCGACCTCCATCACCCACCAACTACGGTCCCTCCAAACTCCATTGCCCATAGACTATGATCCTCTGACCTCTGTTGTATGCTGACTACCATCCCTCCAACCACCGTTGCCCGAATACGATCCCTCTGATCTCCATCACATCTTGACTATGGTCTCTCCAACCTCGGACGAACACTGACTACAGTCCCTCCAACCATCATTGCATGTTAAGTATGACCCCTCTGACCACTATTGCCCAACTATTGTCCATCCGACCTATGTTGTCCATCAACTACAATCCCTATAACTAGCGTGGCCCAAATATGATCCCACCGATCAAACAAACATGCTAACACTCTCTTGAGAATAACTCTTATATCATTAGATTCTTCTAACTCATGTCATATGATGTGATGTATACAATGTATATTTTCTATATCGAGTCAAGCCTTCCCCACAAAAAGTGCCTCATTTGTAACCAACAACATATACTAGTGAAACTATTTTAACTATGTCAGGCGTCATATTTTTCCCCTTTCCAAGATTTTTCACGTAAAAATTTTGTTGTCTCTCTTGCATCTTTCTCTTATATCTATCCATGTGTTAGATTTTCGTACAAAATTATGACGCTAAACTCTATATTTCTCTACCGCCATAAAATTTTCAGGACACAACAAAAACCAAGTAATAAAACCATAAAAATTTACTTAAACAAAGAAGCCTAAACCCTAAAAAAAATATATACATAAAATCTTAATTAAAATGAGCTTCTCTAAATATCTTATTTATAAAAAACAAAAGGAAAATTCAAAAGTGGCAACTTATATAGTTCTATATGAGAAAGACAAAATACAAAACTACAAAATAAAAACAGTGTAATGTATTTTGTACTAAATTAAATGAATTCCATTTGTAATACATAATCATGTTCTCTTCTCTTCTAAAAATAAAGATAAGCACCTAATAATTTGCCAAAACATATATAGAACCAACCTCCCAATTAAATGAAGTGTAAGATAATAATTATGGCACTCAATGAGGGATATAATTATGGTGATTTCCCAATAAATGATTAAATTAAATTTCTGATGATGTAGATGTAGCAAGCAATGGAGCAATTGTCATTTATTAGCAATGTGAGAACATAAAGTTTTTATTTAGGACAATTTTCTTACTATATTATTTTTCATATCACAATAATAATTTCTATTTAGCTACTGTTTACAATAAATTTATGTATTGAGCTACTTTAGAACAACTTTGAAAAAAGTTATTTTTCATACAACAACTTTATTGCAAATTTTGCAAAAAGTTATTGCTATCCCAAACACATCCTAAAGATATGTTTGGAAAACTTTGTTACCATACTTTTCAGACAGTAACCATCATTTTATTTGACTATTGCTTTCAAGAAATTTTGATGTTGGGATGATGTTTTTTATAGTAGATTTCAAAAAGATTATTTCCCCTTAAATAATTTTATAATCACTTTTATAAAAGCTGTAGCCCTCCCAAAAGATCCTAAGTTTTCATTTGAAACACATTTTTGATTGTTTTTGTAGTATGATGTGCATTTCAAAGAGAGCTTTTTTATTATTTTTTCAATATTTTAAATTTTTAAAATAATTTTAAAATTATGATTGGGTAAAAAGTTTAAGAAAAATAAAAATTTAAAAAAAAAAGTTCCCAAAAGAAAGCCTAAGCTTATCAAATAGTCATAACGACACAGTCATAACGGCACAACTCTTTTCAGTCTTGTGTATATGATGTAAATATTAATTCTCCTTAATTAGTTAAATATTAAAAAAAATCTTAACGGACCAAACGGAACCCACGACATGTTTGACTCGGTCGCCGACGGCGTGAGGCTCCGCTTCTAAGCCGTTTGTTAGACCATCTCCAACCGTTCGGCAAACAGCCGAATGGAGGCCCTCAAACGTCGCAACTGAACGTCATTTCTTTCATCATTTAATTGCAGTTGAATAGTGCAACGCCAATATTGACGTCGCACTATTCACTTGTGCCATTTTTTTCTCTCAACCGAACTCGTCTAAGAAATGCGCGAAAGAAACGAGCGATAATTTGGGGGCAAAATGATGTTCCACAGGAGATGAATCACGGCACTTTTTAATTTTACTGTATTTTGCAGTAAAAAAAATGAGAGATTCGTCGGTTGGAGATACCCTTAGCCCACTGAGATTTCGTCATTTATGGTCGTTGCTTCGCGGTACGCTTCATTGAGTAGCTGATTGTGCGTTAGTTGGTAAGTCGGCTCAATCTGCGTCACTTTATTTATTTATTTATTTATTTATTATTATTATTATTATTATTATTTTAAAATATTAAAGCAATTCCATATTTCATTTTAAACGAGGATAACGAGTATAGTTGTCACCCTTTTTTTAGAATGACAAAAAGCTGCGAAGGATTCAAGAACAAGCTCAAGGAAAAAAGGATAAATTATAATTCTAAAAAAAAGGATAAATTATAATTATAAAATGGGTGATTATTTTGGAGAAATAATATTTTCTTTTAAATAATGAATTGAATATATTTTTAATTGACTACTCTTCACTAACTTTAAAAGGGCGAATATATGGGTGTCAATTTCGGGTCAAGGGTCGGGTTCGGGTTGAACCCGAAACTGACCCGGTACTATTCAGGTCAACCCGAATCCGACCCGTTTCCGTTTTTAAAAACGGGTCGGTTTCCGAACCCAAACCGGACCCGTTTCTTGTCCGAATCAACTCGACACGACCCGAATGACCCATTTCCAACAAAAAATTGTCTAATTTTCGGGTCAAAACGGGTCAATCTCCTCTTTTCGGGTCAAAATCGGGTCAATCTTGGGTTGCCTGATCGTGTCACTTTTGGGTCAATTTCGGGTCAAAGGGTTAACCCAAATCCGGCCCGATTTTTGAAACGGGTCGAAATGATGAACCCGAACCCGACCCGTTTCGGGTTCAGGTTGACCATAACCTGAAATTTCCGGGTCGGGTTCGAGTCAGGTTTTCGGGTCGTGTCAAATATTGACACCTCTAGGAGAATGTATTCCACTGGGATGCATATCCTCATGCTGTATATTAGAGCAATTATTAATGGCTTAATTTGCTAGCACATAAAAATTAATGTTAATCTCATATCATCACTAGAACGTGAGGCAAGAGCCAAATGAGCTATTTCAGAATTTCATAGTTTATTTTTAACATGAAATATTAGTGGCCCAAAACTTGGATGCTATGTCTTTGAGGAGATCATTTTTTATATGCGCCGGACTTGCAATAACTAAGAATTTTGACCAAATAACATGAAGACGCTACAAAAGAATATAATTATGTATATGTAGCTTCATCAAGTGTGTATACTTACATATATTTTTTTAGGTATCAAGTAGTAGTCGGCATGTCATGATGAAAAAAACTTGCACTTAGTAGGCCCCAAAGGTGAACTCGCCCAATGATGATTCGACTCTACTTTCTTAGGCCCATAGAAGGAGATCATCACGCACGAGGACAACCAAGGATCCTCATAGATCAAGAAACTCACCACTCACCATGCATGTTATATAGGCCATACATCAAAGTAGCTCACCTTCAACCATGATGAGATCTCCATTTTAAACATTCACTCCTTACAAAAAAGCGCCTACTCAAGAGACTATCAGCTCACTTCGCCATGAACTTCAGACTATGGAGTTGCCTTCCTCGTAATGTCAACTCCCTCTCCTTCCTTTTAAGGTAACTCATGACTCTAATTAGAGGTGTCAATTAATATTGTACACTACCCGACTCAACGACTTGAAAATTTTTTGCTATGGTTAATCCGTTTGTGAAATAGGTCAGTTTGGGTTTAGTAAACCGACCCGTTTCAAAAATTGGGTCAAGTTCGGATTGACCCGGAAACCTGTAAATAATCCGAAATGACATAGTTAAACATGCCGACCACGTCTGCCAGCATCTGTTGCCCGCACTGCTAGCATTAAGTGCTCGTGCTACCCGCCGTCTGCCCACATTGAGTGGTCGTCGCGTTTAGTCGTGTCTCTTTGTGTGAATCATAGATCACGTTGCCCACGTCGAGTCGTGTCTCTTTGTGTGAGTCATAGATCACGTTGTCCACGTCGAGTCGTGTCTCTTCACGTCCCATGCCGTGTCTGTTGCCGCTGCCACTGTTGACGCTGCAGTGCCGCTGACGACATTTCCTAGCCGCAATTGTTGTCTTTTCGTGGGTTGAGTGAGCATACAAAAAGGAATAATTGACTCTGCGAAATTGAGACAAACTTGAGATG